ATGCCACTGAAGCCTTATGTGAAAATGATGCCTCCAGGAGAACCACCAGCTGCAATTGCATCCAGAAAATACTGAACCACCTCCATGCAGTCAGAAGAACCACCCACAATGGTCTTGCCTGGACTGAACATCAGTTTATTACCCTCGATTCAGTCCATTGTCACAGCAAGCAATTGATCTGCAAGCATTTGCTGCCCTGCCTGATGAAAAGGAGAAATAGAGCTGCATGTCATCAACATACTGAGGACAATGCACAGTAAAACTCCAAGTGATGCCACAGTGGTTTCATGTGGCTGTTAAATCGCATGGTGGACAGAAGCGACCCTTCCAGAACCCCAGTTTGCAGAACCCATGGGGCAGAGCAGCATCCCCCGCTCACAACCTTCTGGAGCCATCCATCCCAGTAGGACGGCAGTGAATTAGCTCCCACTCCCAACTCAGACAATTGCCCAGGAATGTCACCATGGTCAACAGTATCAAAAACCACAGAGAAATGAAAGAGAATCAACAGGGTCACACTCCTCCTATCTCTCTCCTGACATAGGTCAACACGCAGCGCAACCAAGGCTCTTTCCATGCCCACACCTAGCCATCTTCAGCAGGTCACCTACCAAGGGACTTTTCCGCATATTCTTTGAAGGAAGTGATATTCCATCATGTTCCTAGGCTCCTTTCCTTATCCCTGCCACAAATTATCTTCTGCAAGAGGTTGAAACTTATTGTCAAAATATGCCAGTACTGTCCCTGCCTGTTCATCATATTGATCAGGCTTAGGAACTGCCCAACTGAATGTCACAGTTTTGCAACAATGGGGCAAGAGCAAGTCACCTAATCAGAAAGGCAACTTTGTAATATTGGGGGGTAGAAAAGGGGAAGATACAGTCTCTCTCTCTCTCTCTCTCTCTCTCTCTCTCTCTCTCTCTCTCTCTCTCGCAGTCCGCCAGCCCACTGCAGTAAATGTCTGAGGTTGTTTTGCTACCTCTGCAGCTGCAGTCAGCAAGGACACAGAATGGGCCTTTGCCAGTCATGCAGCCCAGGCTGTGGAACCCCTTTTCAAAAGAGAATAGAATGGACACTTAAGAATTGCCGAAGAAGGGGAAATGCATAACCAAGCATGGCAAAAGTTGTGCAATTTGCATAAAAATGGCATGTTGATTATAGATACACAATTAGAGATTATGCTGTGTAAATACTGATGCCCTGCAGTGCATCAACCATGGTGTAGAAGACCATGGTCAGTTGACTTACATGCCTGCCTACTCAGGTACTAACTGTTAACTAGTAACAATTCTTATCCTTTATCTTTAAACCATAATTGAGCAGAAAAAGTCCTTCAAACATGGAATATTGTCAGTAGAGGAGGGTCCTCTGGCAGTATTCAAACAGAAGCCCCTCCTCAGTGAAAGACAACACATATTCACCCTGCTAGTGTGCCCTGGGTGCCCCCCATCCACACACACACTTTCATGGCGTTTGGACACACGCTTAGGACAATTTTATTTCACCAGACCCTTGGTCTGTGCTAAATTATTTTATTTCCTTTCTCCCTGCTCTCTGCTGTGTTGTTTTTATTTAGAGAGCAGTCCTATGGTCCCTAGGAAAGTGCCCCAGGGACCATTGGATGGCTCAGAATACCCCTTCTGAGTTTGGGAGAGTTCTCAGTCCTGGCAAGGGGAAGTCCGATCTGACCGCAAGTCACTTCCACTCACACCAGTCTTGGAAGAACTGCGCCAACTGCCTCTCCAACACTGGCAAATCAGCCTAGGAGAGAGGGAAAAGAGGACATTCTACATCAGAGAGGGAGGGGAAGAGATCAGAGGGGGGCGAGATATGATTTGTCCCGGAGCCTTCTAAGCTCTCTTCCCTCTGATATTTAAGCACCCTCAAAGACTGAAAGCCTCTTTAGCAAAAATGAACAAGATCAGACAGCAGGGAGGCAAGATCCCCTCTCCTGCTTTCCCCACACTGCCGGCTTTGGCCCCACAGGACATGGGAATCTTGGAAGCCTTCCAAGCAGTAGTGGTGCAGTTCACAGGATTGCACCTGTAATTTGCTAGCTCCTTTTTCAGTGAGGGGTTGCCTATTTTATATCCCTTGATTACATTATATTTAATTGTTAGTGTAAATTGCCTTTGAGTCCCTTGTAAGTACTGACAGTAGGGGTATACTATTTTAAATGAAATAAATATAGGGACTGTGCATTTTATTTTATATATTGGATTTCTACCAAGGAAATGGCACTCAAGGCAGATAACAACAAAAACTGAAGTGTAAAGCAAAAAACATTATTAAAACTATCACAAAAATACATTGAAATGAAGCAATAAAAGAATAAACACATTCAGCCTAACAGGAAAATTTACATGACAAAGGCCTTCTTGCCAAAAAATGTTTTTGCCTGAAGTGGAAGGACAACAGAGAGGGAGCAATCTGACCCTCCTCTGCAGGGACTTTCAAGGCCTGGGAGCAGCCTCCAAGAAGGCCCTCTGAAAGCATTTTATTATAACTGAACTGCTAGACATCTATATGTCTAAAGACCTGTTTCCTTAAAAAAAAAAAAAGTATGTATTCATCTTGTAAGTACAAACTATAAGTTCCTGTAATCCTAGTTATACATGCATTAAGCATATATTTTAATTAGAAATGCAAAATCTCTTTTATACAGGGTAAGCATTTATCCTATAAGGTATGAGAAAAGACAGGATATTCTTTTTTGCGTTCTCCCAAAAGGTGTTGTCTTCATTAGTGCAGTTCTGTTCAGAATACTTACTCAATTATAGCTCTTATTAGTGGGTGTGAGTTCAAGCTTTATTGTGGGAGCCAAATACTTGACTATCTGGTCCACAGGCAAACCATGCCATTGATTGAGTAATGTGTCTTTTAATACCTTTCTGGGCATCCTTTTTATCTGGGAACTCCTAGCTCTGTAGGTGTTTCTTTTCCTTCTTCCTCTTTTTTATTTCCCTGTATGCTAGACATTGTACACATCATCATCATCATCTGTAAATTATATATTATTCACATATAGCTATAGATATGTAATATTGGTTATTTGAGCTCAAATCCCAAACACATACCCCAAACATTCTGTCTTCCAGGACATTCAAATAAGTCCCAAGTCTCTGAACAACAACTCCCAAATGATATGCTATCAGTGGTTGTTTACAGGGATGTCATCAAAGCAATTGGGCACAAGGAATATTAGGCCATAGGAAGATCGGAATCAGTGTATTTATATTCCACCTATTCTCCAAAGACCTCAGAGCAGCATAGATGATTCATTCCACCCTGATTCTCACCATGACTGTGTGAACCAGCGGTGCTGACAGTAGGGACGTCAGGACTGGGCAGGGAGTCTTACTCCGATCCCCCACAGGCAGTCCAACTACACACTTAACCATTGCGTCATGGAGGCTCTCATACCGGTTGTTAATGAAGGCATTTTTACGGATACCAATTCTGAAAGCTGTTGCTACCAAAAGTGTCTTAAGGATTCAGCATTTGATATAGGGTGTATTGAAGAGACACCAAAAAGTATTTCCTTTAGATTTGCCATATCTCCAGTGCACAATGTTCTTGATATTTTGATGCTACTTGGACATACCGGCTTCAGTCCAATGTTGCATGAGCAAACTTCTGTTCATATAAGTGGTTTTTCCTATGCTCTGCTCCCCACCGGCAAACCCATCTTGCACCTGGCATACCTCCCAAATTTGCTCTACAAGACCTCCCAGTGTTGCCTGAGGACTTGCTCAAATGCCAGGGGCAGGGGGAGCAGCGCACAATGAGGCAGAAAACTGTGCCTCTCTTGTATAACTGGAAATCTGAAGTGTATTAATACACTGTTATTTATGAAATACTTTTTAAAAATGTAGAACCAAGTTGAACTGACTTCAAAATAATTAGGGATAGAAACCACATATGGATCAAGCTTTCCAAAGTGGATTGTAAAATATAGAATATTTTATTTATTAATTTTGAAATAATGTCCTTAATGTTGAAATGTTCCTTTGAAACATTCCAGTTGGTTTTAACACTTGGTGGACAAGGATGTCTTGCTGGAATCAGCAATTTGTGTGACTGTTGCGGTATTCCGAAGTTTGCCTTTAAGTAAATTTTCCTTTCTTGAACTAGGATGTGTTTTAACCCGTGGTATGGACCACTGCCTTGCTCAGTAATCTGTGGTGTGATGTGGGTTTTTTCTTCCACACATTCCAATGTGTGGTAAAGGTTTTGTGGAAGCCCTTCAGAAATTGGTTTCCTGTACTAGTAATCTGCAGTAGGTGACATTACATGACATTCTCCTATACTGTAGAGTAGGGATAGAGAATCACTTGGCCTCCAGATGTTCTTACATGACAATTAGCATCAGCAAGCATGGTTAGTGATCAAGAATATTGGGAGTTGTAGTCCAATAGTGTCTGGAGGATCACAGTTTCCCTAATCTTACATGGAGTCTGACAGCTAAAGTCTTTAAAAGAACCACTTCTATTTCCTGCTTTTTCTCCATGGCTCTCAGATTATTTTTCCTGATGTTATTTATATATTGTGAAAGTTTTCAACATTCGCATGTAAAGAAATATTTCTTAATCACTTATGTATTGTTTTCTTTCATACAGATGAAGAATTTAATGCACACATAAAACTTGCACTTCCTTTATCTCTAGACTAGGGGCTCTGTATATCCCCAGTATTAACTAGAAGAAGTAGAAGGGTGTAGTTTTGCTTCAGGCCATAAAAATTAGAGGCTCTGCCTTTAATCCTGTGCAGTAAGGAACCTCATGGAGGACTGTATTCTGCCAGAAGTAGTTATAGTGCATCAACATGGACAGTGGGCACATCCCTGCCTGCCATGCTGGGACACATGAAGAAGGCTAATATTCCATAGCAAAGGAAATGTCATTAACTAGGGAACCTACATCAAAATAGGGTATTGTTTTAGGTGGTATATCCACTTGACCCAGTATATGAATCCTTACATTCTTATTTCTCTGTTACAGATAGCAGGGGCTTTATGGTGGTACTTCATCTCAAAGGGAATTGAATATCTGGACACAGTATTTTTCATCCTAAGAAAGAAATTTAACCAAATCAGTTTTCTACACGTCTATCACCATTTCACTATGTTTACATTGTGGTGGATTGGCATAAAATGGGTTGCAGGTGGACAAGGTGAGTAATATCCCCAGATAAAGATCCGAAACTGACACTTACCCTGATAATGAATATTGATTGTGATTGTCATTTGCAAGTATTTTTCATACTACAGTGATAGGGTAAGTATGTGTTCAGTTTTGGAAGGATGAATGAAATAAGGAACATACTTCTTTTTCTGGGAAATGAGGGGGAGGAAAGAAATACAGTCCTAAAGATTATGAAACTTTTTCCACATGGGCATAAATGGTATGATTCAGCCATTGCATACACATTCTCCTGTTTGTATTTCAAGTCTGCTTGCTGTATGAAGCAACACACCGGTGTTGCTTTGTTAGAACTAGATTTCTGCAATTGCAAAGACAGCAGAATTCCTAATTCTGTGTTGCTGCTTAATCCGACATATCTCCATGATGACTAAGGATGCAACCTTAGGCAGAAAAATATAGAATCATACACATGGAAGGGGCCTAGAAGGCCATCAGATCCAACCCCTTCTCAATGCAGGACACAAGTTGCCAACCCAAAGGCCCTACAACTCCCATCATTCACCAACCCACCAGAATGGGCAGGATTCTTTCTTGTCTAAACAAGCGTAGGATTGCACTCTAAAGAATTTACAGGCCAAGCTTGTCCATTGTACTCAGAATTAGGTCCTATTAATTTCTGTGAGACTTCTGACCTTGAATGTTACCTACTTTTTTTAGGCAAACAACAGTTTTAAGCCTAACTGAATGTGTATCACCTTACTGTATACATAGATATCATTGATTAAAAACTAAAATATCCTTTGCATGTGTTGCTTTTCTACTCACTTAAAGATAGTCTGTACATCTCCCTTTGCTGCAATGCTGTGGCTCTTATCTTTATTTATTTATTTAGGAGGCTTCTATGCCGCCCCATTCGCCGAAGCCTCGGGGCAGCTCACAATAATAAATAAATAAACACAACATAAAAACAATATAATTTGAGTTGACCTGGCCAAGAATTAAATAAATAAATAAATAAATAAATAAATAAATGATATTAACAATTAAAATAACGTTTGAATAAAAAGGTCTTTGCCTGGCGCCGAAAAACAAATAACGACGGCGCCAGGCGGACCTCTCTGGGGAGTGCATTCCATAGATTGGGCGCCACTGCAGAGAAAGCCCTCCTCTGAGTACTTACCCTCCTAATTTCTTTCACGGAGGGTTCCCAGAGAAGGGCCTCTCCCGCTGATCTCAGGGGGCGGGCAGGCGTATATGGACGTAAGCGCTCCTTCAGGTAGCCAGGACCCAAGCCATTTAGGGCTTTATAGGTCATCACCAACACCTTGAATTGGGCCCGGACTTCAGTGGGAAGCCAGTGAAGCTGACGAAGGACTGGAGTCATGTGAACATAACGCCCAGTCCCCGACAGCAGCCTGGCAGCTCTATTCTGAACCAATTGAAGTATCCGGACCGCCTTCAAGGGCAGCCCCACGTAGAGCGCGTTACAGAAGTCAAGTCGGGAAGTCACCAACGCGTGTCTTCAAAGGCATCTTCATACAAACTCTGTAAGCATCTCTTAGCAGGAGAGAACAGAACAAGCCCCTTCCTTCTTGAGCCAGATATGGCCAGTGCCCCTGGGCAAAACAGTTCTGGTTTTGGATTTGGATTCCACACATTCTGATGTGTGGTAAAGGGTTAGTGGTAGCACTTCGGGAGTGGATTTGTTCTTCCGAAGAGTACAAGAAGAGCCATGCTGAATAGGAGCATGAGCCCATCTAGTCCAGGATTCAGTGCACACAGTGGCCAAACAGTTCGACACTGGAAGCACACAAACAGCCTCCCACCCAGGTGCCCCAGCAACTGGTGTGCCTAAGCATAGTGCCCCTGATGCTGGAGGCAGCGTATAGCCTTCAGGACCAGTAGCCACTGGCAGACTTTATCATGTCAGATGACATCATCTGAATACATAGCAACCCATTTCAAAATTCTGTGCACAGACGGTTGACTTGTAAGCCATCCAGAGGCCAACAACATAATTGGGCAGGGTGCAAATACCCAATAAAATAATGCTATGCACTCTCCTCCCTGCAATTCGTTGCACTGTAAATTGATCACATTTATTACCTAAGTTAAGATTCATGAGTGAGGCTCATTATTTCTGTATTTGTCTTAGCAAGGATATTGTCTAACAGGCAATAAACGATATAGTTGAACCATGGTCAAAATACTAATGTATAAAGATACAAATTCACAAAGATACAAAGATACAAACAAACCCCCCACCACTGCTGCACAAAAGACAATCCCTGTGGTAAACTCCAAAATAAAATAAAATAAAATAAAATAAAATAAAATAAAATAAAATAAAATAAAATTCTTGCTACTGTTGTGCACATATATTTTGCTCTGGCCCAGCGGTTTATAACAGCTGGTTTAGGGAGGCAGGCAGGCAGGCTGCAGCTATTGCGGGGCATATCAATACAGCTATGCTGATGCATGATCATTTGCTAAGCCCAAGTGGACCTTGCAGCCTGTCACAACTTGCATGGTGCAGGTCTCCGAGAACTGCCCTGTAGTCCAGACAGGCCCACAGGTTGCCATGCCAAGGAGCCGGGGGAGAGAGAGCAGTTGTTCTGCAGCAGCGGCCCAATTTAGATGGCACAATTCTTGGGGCAGGAAGTTCATATTCGGTTGGGTCTTTTCCTGGTTTCTCTTACACAATTCTGTGAAGCTCTGTGTACATTAGCACCACTGTACAAAGAAGCATATAAGCCACAGTCCACTCTCCTAACACTGGTGCATCGTCTGCACGTGGAAGGAGGGCCAAAGGGAAGCATTCCTCACCAGCCAGTACAAGCACATAGACGTGCATACCTGCGGGGCCGTCACATAGGTCTCAAGAGTTCTGGGGGCGCCTCTCGTATCTATAGCCACTCCTGCTTGTCTTGCACTTGAGCAGAGGAGATGACTGAGTGGAAATGTGGAAGGTGCACACACAGACTCTTGACGCTCATAGTGACCAAGCATGCTGTTTTTACACACATTCGTTACTGTGGGGGAGGGGAAAGGACTCTATAGGTCAGGAGTGGGGCAACTGGTTTGCCCTGGGAGAGCGATCTCTGGCTCATTCCCCATGGACAAGATGACCTCAGAGATTCGCTACACCTGCTGTAGTCAATTTGGGCACCCATGTTGCACCTGCACATTGTGGATGGGTGTGAAAGTTGAATAGCAAAGAAAACTGACAGGAAGAAAATTGATGCTTTTGAAACATGGCGCTGGAGAGCTTTGCAAATACTCAGGACCAACAGAAAGACAAGCAAGTGGGTCCTAGGTCAAATCAAACCAGAACTTTGACAAGACTGTGGCTACCATATTTTGGGCATATCATGACAAGGCAAAATTCTCTGGAGAAGAAAATCATCCTAGGGAAAGTCAAAGGCAGAAGAAACAGAAGACCAAGCATGGGATGAATTGATTCCATAAAGGAAGCCACAGCCTTGAATTTCAAAGAGCAGAGCAGGGCTCTCCTGGATAGAACACTGGGAGGGAGGGATCTCCTTTGTAGGGTCCCCGTAAGTTAGAGACGATGTAAATCAGGCACATAACAAAAACAAGAAGAATGGGACATAACTGTACTTGTATATTCAACAATAATACTACTACTAATTCAGTAAATCTATGTGTGAAATAGGCATTTCATTTATTTATATGAGTAGTCCTATTAAGTTGCTGGAGACTAACTCATACAGCAAAATGTGTCAGAATTAAAGTTGGGGATTTTAGCTCGATTACTGCGTGTGTTTGTTAATTTCCCATATTTCTATATTTAGAATGCAAAATATTTGAATGCTACCCTATAAATAATTGTAATCTACTATGAAAGTGAATGATTTAAACTTTATTTTAATGTGTCCTGGAAATAAAGAGAAGAAAACATTGATAATACATTTCCTGTAATATATAAATAATTTTATTTGTATGTTTGTTTTGTTTCTTCCTCTCAACAGCCTTTTTTGGAGCCCAAATTAATTCTTTTATTCATGTTATTATGTATATGTACTATGGACTAGCCGCTTGTGGCCCAAAATTCCAGAAGTATCTTTGGTGGAAAAGATACTTGACCATAATGCAGCTGGTAAGTAATGTTTCTTTTTCAAACTAGTGTGTAAATATACAGTATATCTGTATATATTTGATAAAATACTACAAAACTAGAATGGTAGCATTAAGAGGATCATCATTCACAATTCTGAAGCAAGATTCTTTGTCCTTGCATCACTTCATCCATATTATTGGAGATCTCAAAGCATAATCAGGAATAAGAATGGAATTCTGAGCTAGGATAGTGTAAAGAAGGAAAGAAAATTATGCATGAAATATCTAGCAGTTGCTCCAGGAGATGTGCCAGAACATGCTGTTATTTCTTTTTTACATAACACCTTGAAATAATTGCACAGAAACAATGTGCAAACTAATTGGTTGAAATCTATGCATACCCCATGAAATAGCTTGTCTAACAGATGAAAACCTGCTATGGATTCTAATCAGTGTGTTTACAGAAGCTAAATTCAGAAGGCTGCCTCTGCACCTGTTGCTCACTGCTGAATATTGTTATATATGGACCAGGAAAAATGTCTGAAAAGTTTGAAGAAAGTGTTGCATTAGCCACACATCAACAGAGCTTAAAAAGAGACAATCTATTTGATCCCCTGAATTTATGAAGACCACAGGTTTTCAGTCAGAATCATTTCCTATCCATGGCTACTTTAAAATTACAAAGATTCTGCAGAAGAAGAAAATGTTAGGTTACTGCAATAAATAAAGCAAACGAGTTTGAATTAGCTTAGTTGGACTCTCTGTTTTGGATGCCTAAACAGGCCATTTCACAAGCAGTCACAGCCACTGATTCTGTTCTGCAGACAGCTCCTGCCAGTTGTACGAAGGAGATTTTGCACTTCCTTTGAAAGTGCAAAGTACTTATTTCTGGATCAGGACAGGAAGGTGACGGTCCCATATGTGAGCCCTGCGGATCCACCCATTCTCTGATTTTTGATTTCTAGAAGAAATGATGAATCCTCATTTGGCATCACTAAGCAGAATGGAATCACTGGTAGCCCACAATTGCACGTTTGCTTACCTTGATTCTGCCCTGTATTAAAATAGCTTTTCTTGGTTATAAGTAAAAGTGAAAGAGAGGTTCAGGCTTGGTTTTCATGTGGAAAACATAATTTTAAATGCATAGTAAGGGCGTCTGATTGGTTGTTGGTAATTAACAACTTCAGTTTCTAGAAATAATTGATGTGTGTCTTTTTTAGTACAGTAGATACTGTCCTTTTACTGTAGTACGTAAATTTGCAACTAGTTCAAACAGTGTCGCTTCTGTTTTCCAATTTGCCCTGTTTTTCTTTTGAGTCTGTTATTATTACCCAGAGAACTTTGCAAAATACACTATAAGATGAAACCGAGCAGGAAGCGTATACAGCCGAGCTTTTGACATTCTGTTTTTCTGTGTTTCAGATTCAGTTCCATGTGACAATTGGCCACACAGCCATGTCCATCTATATTGATTGTCCCTTCCCTAAGTGGATGCACTGGGGTGTCATTTTTTATGCCACCACTTTCATTGTCCTGTTTGGTAACTTCTACTATCGGACATACAAGATGCCCAAGCAGCCAGTAAAGAACGGCAAGATTACCAATGGCATTGTGGCAAACGGTATAAGCAAACCGGAAAATGGTTTAGTTGTGGAAAATGGAAAAAAGCAGAAGAAAGCAAAAGGAGAGTAATTTGATCCAGGCCTTAACTATTGTTGGCAGTGAGGAGTCTCCCATTGGGCTGTAAAAGAGAAAGAAACGTTATCCTATCTATACCAATTGAACTTTAGGTTATTGAAGAGATAGAAAACATTATTTATGAAGATTGTTTTAACAACAACCCTTCAACTTAAAATTTCTATTGTAATTATGTAATTATTAAGACATATGATTTCTATGTAAACTTTTAGACTGCTGGTGTCGGTAATGTAAGAAAGATGTGCTGAAATAAGATATATTATCAGTCCGGTGGTTAATATTACGATTAACCAAGGGTACAGTTGACCTTTAGGAGCAGACATTTCTCTGAAAAATCAAAAGCATGGTATTTTTCTTGCCCTCTTTTTCACTATATTCTCTTGGACTAGATTATGCCGTGATTTTTCCATCATGTCTGTTATGACTTCTATTGTGTAGAAATACACCTACCTCTTCAAATAACATATAACATTAAATATTAATTTCTGAAATAGAGAAACAGGCAATTTTGTGTTATCCTAATGAGGTAATATGTTTGCCTCCTGTTGACAAAATGTCCTTTTTAATTCATCCTTTCTCTAAAATGTTTGAGTCTTTCTTTAAAACAAAGACAAGCCACGGTCTGAGACAATCCCGAAGATGTACCTTTGTTGTCTGCAGTTCCATGGTGCTTCATGCTCACAAAAATTTTGGATGTTATATTGAAGGGGTAACAAAGACAGAACGTCTTTTGCTAATAACCTACTTCATTACAGGACGTGCTGAATAGAAAGAGGAGACATTCTTCAGTATAAAGTGTCTTGCATTTGAAAGCCCCATCACACAATAACTTTTCCCACTGGATTCAATGGGACTTTACTGTGATTAACTTTCGCTAAACTGGGGCTCATATGGCATGAGCAAATGCACTGAGGATGTATTGCTGTGAACTGTTTACTCACAAGATGATCTTGCTTCTTAGTACTGTAATACTTAGAGACGCACGATCTGTTTGAGCAGGCACTGTGCGCAGATCCCCACTCCTTCCTGCTGGTTCTTGCAGGCCCAGCGTGGTACGGGCAAACTTGGCTGGTAAGATCCCATGCCTTCCATGCTAGCTTCTCTCCAGTCTAATTCCCATGGCTGTTCTGCTCATCATTCCATTCTGCACCTTTATGGAGTCTCTCATGTGTATTGTCAGAGCACCTGAAACTCTTCTCTACCATGAAGTGGACACATTTAATTCATTGCACTAGTGTGAAGAAAGTACAGTAAGGATTCTTCATTTGCAAAGCCTTGGAAATGAAGAGAGTCATGCTTTGCTCCAGCCTGAAGTGAGTTTGAGGGATAGCTGGAACGAGAACCAAGGAGGTCTTTAGATTTCTCCAGTCTGAATTCTAGAGCTAACTCTATGGTATTTATGAGAAACAGACCTCATTACCCATGTATTATATCATGAAAATAAAGCTGTTTAGCTGGGACAGAAGCTTATAGAACATTCCATTTTACTTTTACCCATCTTGTATTGTCCATAATAAACAACAGGAGAACAAAGGCACATATTTCCTGATTTTTACTATGTCTGTGACTTAATGGTTTTATCCAAAACTCTATTTTTGTTATCCCAAAACATAACTGGAAAAGGTATAAATATTTTCACATTGAGCATAATTACAAGTGACCATGGTGGGCTGTTCTCCAAAAGTAAACCAAACTGGAGAGTGAGATGGCCCTCAACCAGGTTACTCAGGAATTAGTCTCACTGAACACAGTAGAATTTTCTTATGAGTAAACATGTTTAGGATTATACTCTTGGACTGAACCATACCTGTATTAGACAGATTGGTCTGGGACCATTCACCAAATTACCCTTTTTCTTAATCTTGTTCCCTTTGTGCTTTTGAGAGGGAAACAGGTGGGCAAAAATCATAGTACATAACAAACTCAAATTATGATGGTTTCAGTGAGGCATAATTAAGCATGTGCTTTATTCTTCCATTGAAATAAATGGGAGTTGTGTGTTCTTAACCTTGGCTGGATTTTTTTCTTTAAACATAAACAAATTTTTAAAAGTAAAGCTGGTTTGCATATAATTCGCCCTCTTTGTAGTATATTAAGATTTCAGCATGCTTTGGTGTTCTGTCATGATCCAGTTTAAGTGAATCATTTTGATCAAAAGATAGATGGTTCGAGCATTTTACGCCTCTACTGATGAAATTGAGAAATGCTTTTTTACAGGGATAGTGTGATTTTTTTGTTGTTGTGTTTTGTTTGTTGCCACATGTTCTGACACAGATCGTCTGGCATAATTTTGTACATGCCTAGCTATCTGTGTACTCCGGATTACAGATTCATATCCATGAGAATACCAACTAACCCTGAGGTGCAGTTCCTGCAGCCCTGAAATATGTGTTGCAAGGTGCACTGTTGCGGTGGGGCGCATGCGGCCAGGAGTGATAAGGATGCCTCTGTGCAAAGTATACCAACATTAACATCTGGATCTAGAGCTTGGTATGCCTGATTTTGCAGTAAGTGCTATTTAATAGTGGCAGAGGTTCAGGACTGCTTCTCACGCTTCCTTTCCCCCCCTTTTTGAAATGGAAGCTAATTGCATTATAACTTTTGTGCAGCAGCATGACTGTCTTCTGGAGCATCTATACACAGATAGCAAAGCCCCTTCTTTTCTTGTCTTCCTAATGCATGTACATGCTCCCAGGGAAAACATGGCCACAGAGATGCTACTTCTTCCTATTGCAGAAATACATTTTTATCTAACACAAAAACAGAGAAGGAGCTCTGAGTTTGTATGATCTTATCCTATTTATATTGGTATCATTGGAAACGGAGTATGTTAAGTGTTGCATCCTGATTTTTTTTTTTGGGGGGGTGGGGGTACAATGTGAAGAAATAGTATGGTTATAACCTGAATTATTCTATTTCTTTTCTGTGTTACTTCAGTTTCAGGCCATGGCATTTGCAGTTACAGCTTTTACTTCACCTTTAAGGGTAAAACTCTTTCAAGGAAGCTTGCATATAAATAAAAAACACAATTAAGAAATAGTACACAAATAATAATAAGAAATAAGTGCATGATACACATCCAGACTAGAGAATACAAACATAATTACAGCTAAGATCCAATCAAGGGAAAACACAATGTAAGAGAAAGCCAAAGGAAAACAATATTAATCATCATAATGGGGACATCTATGGAATCCTGTAAGACCTTCCATTTAAGGGGTTGACTGGCCCAACACAGAGCCCAACCCTAGTGCTCCAACATTTTTCATGGTTACACAAACAGCTTGGAAAGTGTTATGGAACAGGGTTCTCTGTCACATTCCTGAACCTGCTGCAGATCAGAAGTTGGAGGCAGCCAACAGGAAATACTTGCTTTCTGGCTGTATTGAGGCTTCTTCTGCCCACACGGCCCTCTCTAGCCTTCCTATTTTTCTCCTTGCTCTTTCTCTCCCTCCTCTATCTCTAACTAACTGCTTTCTTTCCCCCCACTTCTTCTTGATCTTCCTCTCCCCACCACCTCCTTACCTTGCTTTCCCACCTCCCTCCCAGCCTCTGTCCTCTCAGAGTTTCTCCCTGGACCTCTTGAGCTCACTGTTTGCCCCAGTTCCTGCATCCAGGCTTGCTCTTTCCCCTGCTTCTCGGCCCTCCAGCTCACTCTTGACTAGCCAGATCTCATAGCAGCCATGATGCAACTAACCACATTTTCCACAGGAGCCATTTTGTGGTGGTGCCTGCAGCAGTTTCTCAAATTGCTAAATATGCCCGGGAGTCCAAAAGGATTGGGGACCATGCCCGAGACCACAGCTCCTTCCAAAGGCATTGGGCCACTCGTGCACTGCTCCGCTTACTGCCTTCCATGCTGGGGGTGTGAGCAGGGCCTCCATGGCTGACCTTAGCAGGGGTTGAGAAGATGTCTCTTTCCCCAACACTGTGGAAAGCTGCTGCCATTGGATGGACAAAAAGCCTGGCCTAGTATAAGAAAGCTTTTCATGCTCATATGATGATCAAGTTTATAAGACATCTGACTATTTAAATTGAATATTCGACATTCTCTTTCGTTCTTTATTCAGAAATCCATTTAAGGCATCATTGACTCATATCGCACTCTGGCTTCCAGCTCTGTAATTCAAATGGATGTGTTCTTATTTTTTTAATTCAATACAAAGATTATAGATCAATGAGTCTGATGTACTTTAATTGGTAAACTGAAGATCATTACTGTTGCTTTAAAATACATTGAGTTCTTATAAAGACACTTAAAAATTGTGTGACGAATACTTGTTAGAAAGTAGAAAGTAGCATTTTGTTTTCCTCAGGGTGCTTTTAGTAGGTTTATCCAGAAATCTTCAGAAACAACAAACAGGTTGGTTCCAGGAGGGGTCTGAGAATCTTCCCAGAATCCAGCCCTCTTCTGTTTGTCAGTCTTTTTCTTATGTTTGGCCCTCACTTAGGAAGCAAGCTAAACCAAGAGGAAGTCCATGGACACTCACAGCACTCGGGCTGGGCAACTAGCAACCTTCTTTCACAGCATATGCAGCACAAAGGGAGGCCGCAAGTCATGAGTGTGGAACAGGGGCACTGAGAAAGTGGGCTGGGCCATGAGAAAGTGGGTTGGAGTCTGGGGAGCCAAGCCCAGAGTATCCAATGGATTCCTACCCCCAAAGTGGATTCCTTACACATTTCTGGTTCCAAGGCTGGTTCCTGCCAGCGGAAACCAAGAGAGATTCTTTGGGCGGAGAGTCTTTAAGATGCTCCAGCTGGGAGGAATTAGGGCAGTTCATTTCCACTGATCTTTCTCTCTGCATCCACTAGTGCTGTTTCCCATTCGAGAGGGTACCCAAGTTCTCCAATACAGATTTTCAGGAAAGGCGCATGAGAGACTGAAAGGAGATGGGGCAAAATCACTTCCCGTCCTGGTCTCCACAGACACAGGACATTCTTCCACCAGCAGGAAGCAAATTCCGAATCTAACCCGATATCCTGAAAGTTACTCA